AAAATCGTGGTCAAAATCCAAGAATACCAAATTTCTAGGTTTTCATCAAAATCCCAAATTTATAGTAATTTCCATGTTAAAACACATACATAATCGATGTATCGAACTCAAACCAGCATATACCACTTACCTCATGCTTGGTGGTGAAAATGGCACTCCAAGTTGCTCCAAAATCGGCTCACGTGAAAGAAAATGGAGTGAAAATGAGCCAAACCCCGATTTTAAAGAACCTCACTGCCTCCGGCCTTTTCGCACCTGCGATAACTTAACCGCTTCTGCGGTACCGCAGGTGCAGCCCCACAACCGCTTCTGCGGTCTATCACCAGGCCCCTCACTCTTCTTCTGTGCTTCTCCTTCTGCAAGTGTAGTCCTGCTTCTGCGGCAAAATGACCGCATCTGCGGTCCCAGCCTAGCCCGGTCCATTTCCGCTTCTACGACACAAGGGCCGCTTCTGCGGCTCCACACCTGCGGCCCAAGCCTCGCAGGTGCGGTTACACCAGAAGGCAGTTGCTTCATTTCTTCTTTAAATTCCAAATTTGATCTGTTAACCATCCGGATTCCACCCGAGGCCCGCGGGACCCCAACCAATCATACCAGCCAGTCCCAAACCGTAATGCGGACCTTCTCGAGGCCTCAAATTACGTCAAACAACGCTAAAATCACGAATCATACTCCATTTCAAACATGATGAACTTTAGAATTTCAAACTTCAACTTTCGATGCCGAAACCCATCAAATCTTGTCCGATTGACCTCAAATTTTGCACACAAGTCATATTTGACATTATGGACTTACTCCAACTTCCGAAATTGGAATCTGATCCCAATATCAAAAAATTTCACTTCCGGTCAAACTTCTCAAAAACCTTCAAATTTCTAACTTTAGCCAAATGACTCCAAAATGACCTACGGACCTCCAAATCCACTTCCGGACGCGCTCCCAAATTTCAATACCAGAGCCACCATACGGAGCTACTCCCAGACTTGAAATCCCAAATGGACATCGATAGCATCGAAATGCACTTCAACCCAAATTTATAAAATTCTTGCAAAATGCTAACTTCCACAATAGGCACCGAAACGCTCTCGGGTCATCCAAAATCCGATCCGGACATACGCCCGATTCCAAAATCATCATACGAACCTGTTGGAACCTTCAAATCCTGATTTCGATGTCGTTTACTCATAAATCAAACCCTAGTCAATTCTTTCAACTTAAAGCTTCCGAAATGTGGATTTTCTTTCCATATAACTTCCAAACTTCCCGAAATTCAATTTCGACCACGAGTACAAGTAATAATACCTGAAGTGAAGCTGTTCATAGCCTCAAACTGTTGAATGACGTGCTAAAGCTTAAAACGATCGGTCGGATCGTTACAATCAACATTGCAGCGAAATCCCTATTACACACCTCTCTTTCACGGAAAACTTTTTACACACTCAACCTTTCAAAAGTGTGTCTAAGACACACCACTTTTGACCAGATAGCACTTGTGTGTTTACACACACAAAAAAGTGCGTGAAACCCGTAAAAAATCACATTTTTTGTCTCCCCTCCCCCTCCCTCTGTTCTTCTTCCTCACCGCCCTCCCCCTCATTTTATTCCCCAAATAGAATTTTTGAAAGAACATATCAATTTTAGATCTAAAATTGAGCAGATTTTGTTGGTTTATTGTCTAAATATTGTGAAAACTATTTATTTATTATAGATTTAAAAGCTTTAATAGTAGAATTGAAGGTTTGGTGGAAAAATCTAGAATCCATCATTGTTGGGGTATCGAAAAAAGCTTGAAAATTCAATTGGGTCTTGTTAATTATTGGGTTATTGAACTCAATGTGTTGCTCCATTATTTTCGGCTAGTTGTTTAGATAGTGTGGTTGCATTTTGGTGTTATTGGAAACTTTCTCACAAACAACCATGGTGGTAACAATAATGATGGTGAAGATAGAAAATGGAAAGATGAAGAAGATGGGTTTTAATTTTAATTTCTAATATTTTTTTCCTTTTTAAAGTCAATGACACATGTCACGATCCTATTAGGCGTGATTTTCACGTTATCTGAAAAATTGATCAAGCACAAAAGTAGTGTGTCTTAGACACACTTTTAAAAAATTGAGTGTGTAAAAAATTTCCGTGAAAGAGAGATTTGTAACAGGGATTTTGCTGCAAGGTTGATGGGTAAACTATGTACTTTGCCAAGGATATATATAAAGTATATACATAATATATACTTTTGGATAAATAGCAAATGAATTACTATGCGAAAGAACATACATAAAGTATATATATATATATATNCTCTTTATATATTTATACTTTATATATATTCTTTCTCACAGTAATTCATTTGCTACTAATCAGAGTAGTTAAGATTTGTTCTTATTAAGTTAATTTTTTTTATTATATAAGAAATATTTATGTAGGTATAAAATATAAGTTTGCCCGATTTGTCAATATTAATATGCCTATGTTATTCTTGTCATTAAAATATTTTTTACTGATTATTTAATTTCTTTTCTTATCTTATAAATGATTTATATATTTTATGTAAGATCTTATTTTAATTTACTTCAAAGTCATATGTTATCCCAATTTACATCTTTCTATATTTTTTATTTTTTCTATTATAATTTTGTAACTAATTTTTACCTCCATATTATAGCTAATATAGAAGAAAGTCTATTAGTGGATCTATATATATATAGAGAGAGAGAGAGAGAATCAAAACTTTCTATAACAGCCTTGTTTGTTCCAAATATTTTGGAATTGTTGTTATAGAGAACATATATTATAACAAAATATGACATTTGGTTTCGAAAAAACTTGACTTTTATAGTGAAATGTTGTTATATAAGGATGCTGTTATAGAGAGGTCTGACTATATATAGATTAGATTGCCTAAGATCTATTAAGATTATGTATAAAATTAATTCAACTACTTCCATTAATTATGTTTCCATTTATAATTTTTAATTATTAATGTTGTCTTAAAATTGCCAAGTGACTTCATTTTAGTTTGCCACTTGGCTTAACCACGATGCATACTACTCTCCTTTTAATATAATATAGAAGATTAAGTAGATAGTACTAACTTTTAGTGAATCATAAGGCAATATAATTAGAAGAAAAAGATTTTTGGGGATATCGGCCTTAAGATCGTGCAAGTAAGTAATCTCATATTCTTTTATATTTTTGTATGAATCATCACATGGAATAATTACTTCACACTTGTTCTTAATTATATGCTCGAAATAAGGATGTTATTGTCAGTCGACTATAGTGGTAGCAAAATGATTAAAAGAAAACAGTTAATCATTCATATTATTTACTAAAAAATGGTTGGATAATGAATTTTTTTAAAACGGGTCAAATATCGATAAGAACCATAATATCCACTTAGAAAATGGATAATAACTGGATAACCAGTGGATAACTAATGTGTTTAACTTTTATATTTGTAGAACCTCAAATTGGGGGTTTCCTCAAGTTTGGGAGACTAGAAATTCTCCTAAAAGATCATATTGAAGAAACTTACCCATATTATATCCACCGGTTAACCCGTATTTTCACAGTATTAAATATGGGTCGGGTCGACAATTTATTCGTTTTTTCATTATTCATTTCGACTAGTCCCATATCCGACCTGACCCGCCCGTTTGCCACCTCTAGTCGACTAGTACAAGAAGATGGTCACTTTATTAACACTATATATAGCTTGCCCAGATAAGTGCATTCTCCCGTATTCTCCACCTGCTTCTTATTTACATTAACTATTTTCTTACTTGCTCTTCTTCATAAGTATCATAATTCATATAATGGGTATTAATTATCTCAGCTGGTTTTCTTGGAGTTGTTGTGTTGGTTGTTCTTTTCATAAGTGGGGCCATGGCTTTTGCTGACATTGAGCATCCGTCTGGTATGCCTGCCGGTAGGCGGTTGCTCGCTGACGGTGGCTCAGCCGGCGGTGACGGTGTTGTTGGGGGAGGAGTGCTGGGTGCGATAGCAGATGCTTTCGGTCTTACTGGAAATTTGTTGGGAGATCTTATTGGAAAGGATGGTGGAAACTAATTTAATTTATATATAGATATATATATATAGATATATATATATATAATCCTTGCAAAAGATTTCTATAATTAGGTTGCTGCTATGCATGCAGTAATTAATAACTGGACTTGTGTTTCTTTTTCTTTTGAATAATTGGCTCTTGAGCTTCTTGCTTTTTTCATTTATTCTATGTATTTGTGTGGTTGCTTTCTTCTTTCTAAACTTTCGGAGTTTCAATATTGTATCCAAAGTTTAATTAATGACAATAATGGAGAGTGAATTACTACTTTACATTCGTTTTGTTTTCAAATAGTGTACTACCTTTCATCTCCATATATTACAAGTCTGAGCAGCAAGAGGTGAGGATTTCTACGGGAAAACGATATTGTATAGCCGCTTTTAAAAGAAAAGTCAAAAAATATATATATTTTGTATATATATATATATATTCTGTATTTTATATACAAAAATTTTATAAATTGTATACATTTTTTAGACTACCGAACGTAAATAGTTTTTGGCGGGGGCTAAAAGTGAAAAAAGTCCGACTTCTTTTGCATTATTGGATAAGGTCTTCAATAGTGGATATACCTTTGTATGGTTATACGACTTTTAAAAATTATGATCTTAAATATGCTACTCCTATAATGTTCCTGTGACTATAAAAGTTTGTCACCGAAGTAAAATGATAAATTTAAACTTCATTATTTACCTACATATATAGAAATAGATCATTCTTAGGGTAAATTAATAAGAAAATAGTGCTAAACAAATTAGCCAAACACAGTAATAATTTGGGCTAGTTGGAGAAAATAATGCACGAAGATACTCTACGACCGAGAGTTCCAAACTTTGTACGGCACACGTGGCACGTTCTAATTGGTGGTTTTGTGTTGGAAACATTACGAGGAATTAACTTGTGAAATTACCCAAAATGTGTTGGAAACTTCACATGCACATAAAATGAAATGTTTTCACTAATTTTTGTCAGATTGACGTAATTACAGTTGAAAGTTGTAGACAATAAAAATTATATATTTACTTTCTGCTACTTTGTCTTAATTCACTCCAAATATTGTTATATGTCTACGTAATATATATTTAGGTTAAGCTAATTACTATAAACTATAGAAGTACTTTTAGGGGTTGTTTCGTAATCCACCCCTCATTATCAATGAAGGAAAGACTTGTTAAATGTTGCAACTCTTGTTGGCTCAATTTGGCTTCCCACTGCACTCTTTTTGAAGTGCGTGATCCCGTTCCTTTGCAACTTTCCTCAGCAAATGTTAATTGTTTCCTATGTCATAAACAAAAAAAGAGCATATTTAAAATCAACACGAAAGAACTCGATGAATAAGAAAATAAGAAAATTATTGGCCACATAGTATTCTAGCCATAGTTTTTTCCTAAAACAACCTCTAAGGTAAGGCATGCGTACAATAAATACTTGTGATTCGATCTTTTCCCGAACCCTGCATATAACGGGAGCTTAGTGCATCAGACTGCTCTTTTTTATGCCTTTGGTGAGTTTTATTGGAATAGTAGTTAGTATTAAGCTGGGTTCAATGGTGAAGGTTCTATAGTTGTACCATCAAGAGTTGTGGTGGAGCGGTAACTACTCCTTCATCCTTAATTAAAGGTCTCAAGTTAGAGCCCTGACTAGGTATGGAGTCGCCTTTGTCAGGGAGCGCTTTACCGCCCACTGTGGGAGTTCTCTGATCTAGCTTAGTCCCAATATAGATACCGAATATCGGATGGAAAACCAAAAAAAAAAAAAAAAA